GAGTAACGGGATTGTTGTCTAAAAAATTTGTTTCAAATTTTGTCAAAAGTAATTTCTTTTCCCACCTCATTTTAGTAACCAGTCGATCAAACTTCTAGTTGTTTTTATATATACGATGCTCTCATATTAGTTGAAAAAATTGTAATTGTTGGTTTAATGATAAATTTTTAAAAAAATATCAAAAGAAATATTTGCACTTCATCAATCTTCCTATTGACGCTTTTTGTAATTGTTGCATAGACAATATACTCTGGCCCACTGCGTCCACACAAACAAGTTCCAACACATTTTGACCTGAAATTCGGACGAAGATGAACGATGTTTATGAGCGTAGGAGATACTTTATGACACAAGACGAAAACGTTCAAACAACAACAATATGATCAATAACAAATAATTCAACCAAAGTGAAAACAAATTTTATTTCAAGCAAATTAAATATGGAATTTTTGAGGGAGGAAGTCGAATGAGGTTTTGAGTATATATTGTTGCATTCAGAATAAATATCACAAGAGCTCCTTTTATAGGGTTCCAGTCAAGGTGGTTGCCGTTGGATTGGAATCATGTGGCTTTATCTCCCAAACCGAAGTTTACATCACAGTCTACTATGCATTTAATACATTGATAAGTGGTCAACCACCCTATATCGTGGGATGATAGTTGTGATATTCAAACATTACATTAATCATCCCTAAAGATTGCTCGCAGATCCTTTAAATGTCAGCAAGGGCTTTGACCAAAGGGAGCTTCAGATAAAGCGACGGCTTCGATTAATTCAAAAGGAGCTTTCGGCCACAATATGAGGAACTTTGGGGCAAAGACCATTGGCTCTTTCTTCGACTTGTTTTCTGACTGATTGTTGACTAAGTCAAATTTGACTCTCTTCTCTATGCTCCACGTGGTCTTTAAAAAAGTTTAAGCCCTAACTTTAAGGGTCCCCCACCACCCCTGCCTTGGAGTATCGTGAGGGAGGTAAATCGCATGTTATGCCTCCAAGAGTACAGGGTGGAAGGCTGCTTGTACACTTGCACTTACCCAAGAGCCAAATCCATATTTCAGGATTCGAACCCTTGACGCAGCAGCCTCAAGCAAAGTTGGATTTCTCCACCCTCCCCTTTTACCACTTGGAGATGTGCCCTGGGAGCAATGCTCCACGTGGTCTTTGATTGTAGCCTTGGTGGTAAGGTGTAACACTTCCGGTAATAAAGAAAAAAAAAATACAAGACTAATAAGCCCCCGTCTAGCCTACATTCTCTTTCATTTTTTTTTTCTCTTATTTTCAATCATACAATTTTTATAAAATAATATTACACGTAAATCGAAAACTTTTTATTCTTTTTCAACCATATATTCTTCAAAAAATACTATTCCAACAATTAAAATTTGAAAAAAATGTGAGCCAAATGAGGGCTAAAAATCTAAAATAACATAGATCACACATTTGACGAATGCAACAAATTCAGCATAAAAAAGTTCTTACTCACCCATTAAAATTTCAATTTCAAACAGATAAAAATTTAAATCATTTTCTGAATCGTCTCATTGGATTGTTAAAATATTACAAGTTATACACTTCATTAGTTTAAAAAAAAAAAATATTAGGATATAACTTGTTTCGATTCCATTTTTCAATATATTCTTCCATAAAATAATGTTATACGTAAATTCAAAACTTTTTCTTATTTTTTAACCATACATTTTCTAGAAAATCATTATTCCAAATACATTTCTCCCGAAAAACTCAGTGTAATGAAGCCCAAACAAGAGCTTAGTAATTTGGATCATCAACGTTAAGATTTCTCACCTGTACAACTAGAAAAGCAAGTCTATTTCCATGTTTAAATTAGGAACACGTATGATTAAGAGTCCGTCTGATTGAAAAGATGGAATTAAATTAACTAGAAAATGAATTTCAGGGAATTGAATTGCTTATAAATTGTTTTCTTGGGAATCGTAAATTATTATGTTTAATTGGTATAACTTTTAACATGAAAAATGTTGAAATAAAAGTATTTTTGGTGTTCGTTTGACTTTATTTCACATGAAAATTATCAATTAAAGGGATATAATTTACTGGTATTGGGAATGAAATTTGTTTCCACTGCAAAAAAAAAAAAAATTCAAAAAAATCATCTATGTTTTGTGTTCGTTTGACTTTATTTTACATTAAAATTGTTAGTTAAAAGAAAATATTGTTTTACAATAATTTTTAAAATTTATTTCCATCGCAAAAAATAAACAAATAAAAAAAAATTGACGCTACGATAACCGAGAATGGGAATTCTCACCATAGAATTCCAATTCAAGGAAAAGATGGAAATTGACTTATGTGGTAAGATAATTGGAAAACCAATTCTAGGGGGAAAAAATACTATACAAAAAGGTAAAATTGAAAGATGGAATTCCAATTCCATTTTCTATGGAATTTCAAGTCATATCAAACACACCTTACGTTTAAAAGTTATATTTTCGAAAAGTAGAGAAGTAAAAAAACTAAGAACGAGAAGGTTAGCCATTCTTACATCTACCAAACATGCTTAAGTGACAAAAAAAGAAAACGAAAAGACAAAACTCAAAACCCAAATGTATGAAGATAGGGAAGCAGATATATTTCATGATGTTGAAACCGGTCAGAGTTTGAGGCAGGATCGGAATCTTAATTGCAACGGTGTCCTTTTTGCATCCACTGACTAACGCAACAAAAACATTGTGACTACGGCTTTTGCTCGCATTATTCAAAAGCCACGCCAATTTGACTTATTTGACGCCCCGCTAGACCCCCACTTAAGATACCACACGCCTACCCCACATCACATGTTTGCCAATTCATAATTAACTGTTTAAAATTTAAAATATTTAAAACTTTAATTACCTAATTAACCCGTTCGACAACCATTATTTTCAAACTCTTTTTTCTACTTGCTCATTTTCAACAATATATTCACAAAATAAAATACTCTGTTCATAAATTTAAAACTTTTTTCTACATCTTTACTACACGGTTTGACAACCTTTCTTTCAAAAGTCTTTTTTTCGTTTACTCATTTTCAACCATACATTCTCATAATAAAATATTTTCTACGTCATTTCAAATATTTTTCTACTTTTTAATCACAAATTTTCCAAAAAATTTGCTATTTAGAAACCCATTCCTTGGAAGGAATGGCTCTCAAACAAGGGCTATATAACTTCTTGGAATTCGTTAATTTTTTCTTTTTGTCTCGGTAAAAAATATAACTTTTATTTTTAAAGTAATACCTTATTATCATATAATAATACTATTTATTATTAGTATAAATTATAATTTGTATCCTTGATTAGTTATTCAATGCATAAATATGTATTGCAAACCCATTGACCAATGAAATAGGAGGCCTAGTTTTACCTAGCCAATGATATTAACTAATGATAAATAAAATTACTCCATAACAAAATATTTTATCCTTCTTATTTATATAGGCAGATATTTTCTATTTTCTTATCTCAATTATATAAAATGTTTTGTTTTGTTCATTTATTAATATATCATTATTTAATTTGCACAATTATAATCAATATTTTTCACTTAATTTTGAAATTTTGTACAAATATAAATAAGGGTGGACTAGGAAGGCTTTGTGAAAAAAAATTACTTTTTCAATAACATTGAGTCGCTGTTTGTTTCCCATTCTTTTTCTATTAAAATGAAAAATATGATCGTTATCCATCACATCAAGCCATTGTATTTAAATTTTTATCTTTTGTATGGGGTTCATAATAATTATATTTTTCATTTTCATTCTTTCATAAATGAGAAACAAACGGGACCTATGACAAATTTTAAGTCGAAATCAGGCAAATACTAGGCAGTGAGTCGGTGACAAGAAATGTTACCATGCCGTTGTTTGAGCCCCATTTTTGGACAAAAATGCATTTTGAAATAAAATTTTGTTGGAGAATATGAGATTAAAAAATAATGAAAAATTTTAAATTTTAGGGTCCCCTTTTTTTGCAAAGATGGAATTTGTGTGGAAAAAAATCGAATTTCAGATAATTGAATTATATTTGTTATTCTTATTTTACATAAATTGGAAACAAACGGAGCTGAATAAGATTTAGCCCCCATTTGCCCTCCCATTATTTTCAAATTTTAAAAGTTGGAATAGTGTTTTTTTGAAAATTGTGTGGTTGAAAAAGAATGAAAAATTTTCGATTTGCATATAATATTATTTTATGAAAGATTGTGTAGTCAAAAATAAAATAGAGAAAAAGAATTAGAAAGATAATGTTTGCCAAATGGGGGCTTATTAATCCGTGTAAAAAATAAAATCAACCTATATAAATGTGATGCGGGAAGTATATAAGTTATTTTCAGCTTTAATAAAAAACGAGTACTAAGTGGAGGTCCAATTGACATATATTGAAGAATAAGAGCCTGTTTGGGAGTGATTTTGAGAATTGATTTTTTGACCGTTAGGAGAAAAGTGGGGTCCACCTGTGAGAGAAGAAGTCAAATATGACGGCTGAAATAGTAAAATAACGGTAAAAAAATCAATTTTTTGGGTGAAAAAATGGGCCCAAACAGCCCCTAAGTATACAATTAATTGCAAGTATACTTTCTAATTAAATTAATTGATCAACCCGTTGTCCACATTTAGCTAGAATTCAATTATTGTCGCATTGTGAATAAATTTTTTAAGCTCAGCCAAACATGCTCAAAGCTGAAAAGTTGTCTGAATTTACTTTGAAGTAAAATTTATTTTCAAATATTTCGAATAAGTTGCTATTTTTACTTGTAATTTTTTATTTAAAATTAACTTATGCAAAAAATGTAAATTTACATAGAATTGACTTTTTAAGCTTTGACAAACATGCACTGATGACGTGGCTTGCTTCATTTCCAGTGTTTTGACTCGTGTAAAAACTCTCAAACATTTCTGCTTAAATTCCACTTTCACTTGTCGCCGAAAGAGATATAATCCTGAATAATACGGTTGTAATAAAGTAATCCCACCCCAACCCCACGCACCCCCAACCCTTCGCCCACGACACCCTATGAGCCAATCATACTACAACAAATCACAGTTCATTTCTCTATCTCTCTCTCTATAATTTCGTGTCTGTGTCTGAATTTTCCGCATTTTTTCTTCATACAAGGGTTTTGTCCTGTAAATATATGATCACCACCTCCATTGTTTTTGAAAGTTGTTGTTAATTCGTGGCAATTGAGAATTCTAGGGTTTCGAGGCAATGAGTTCGCCGGAGGAAAATGAGAGTTTTAGTTCCGGTTTGTGTCGAAAGAACATAGAAACGTTGTTAGCTGCGGTGGCACAGACCCAGGGTTTTGACGATGACGAGGCTGTCACCACCACTACTGAAAGAACTGGGGGAGATGACAACGGCGGGGCATCTTCGTCGGCGGCGATTCGGGATGTGGACGACTCTCAGGTTGTCGGAGCTCCGACAGAGATCGATGGGGATGTCATGGAACAGCAACCTTATACGGTGGTTATGTGTTTGCCAGCCGTACGAGGAGGGCAGCAAATGTGTGCAAGTGGTGGGAAGCGGAAGAGAGCAAGAAAGGAAAATGGGCCGGTCGTAGTATCGAAGTCTTCGCCTCCGAAGCAGGAAAAACAGGAGGTCGAGGAGGTGGGTGTTTTGCCCGCCGTCCGAGCAGGGCAGCAAATGGTTGCAAGTGGTGAGAAGCGGAAGAGAGGGCGGCAGGCGAAGGGGCCGGCCGCGTCAGCAGCAAAGCTTCCACGTCCGAAGCGGGAAAAAGAGGAGGAGGATGTTTGCTTCATTTGCTTCGATGGGGGTTCTCTCGTGCTTTGTGATCGCAGGTGAGTTGAATTTTTAATGCATGGCATTCCAAAAGTTTCAATTTTTGAATGAGGATTAACTTATTTCTTTTCAAATTTCATTCGGTTCTTTTTTTTGAACCATCTAATATAATAACTTGAAGATTTCAGAAAGGTGTTGATGTACAGGCCAGATTCATTATATCAAGGACACCCGGCACAATTTTTAATAAATGGGAGATGGCCATATCACGTGGGAGTTGAAGAACCTCTTCTGATAGCTTAAGCTTTCAGATAGAATACATTAGTTTATGTAAATTTAGAATTCAATATCTTTTTCAAGAATGCTGTTGTTTCTTTTAGTCAGGGGAATTTTGCTTCATGAATTTCTAGAAGTAAGAAATAATTACCTGGAGAAAGTTTGAAGCTTGCCTTGTAGTTGATTGAATTTCTGTTGCTATTGGATAGGGGCTGTCCAAAGGCGTATCATCCGGCATGTATTAAGCGAGACGAGAAATTTTTTAGTTCAACTGCTATTTGGAACTGTGGTATGCTGCTCTTTTATTGTGTTTGAACTTTGAATTCAATGAAGTCAGTTGATCGCAGTTTTGGTGTATTGCATTAATTTTTAATTTGTTTCTTCTTTTTGCTATTTGTGGCCGAGTTTGTGATTATTAGATATCCGTTTATTTATGTTAATCAGTATAATTATAGTATTACATGCAATAATGGGCTTAACCAAAACATCCTAACCACTTGATTCATCCATGATACCCATCAAGAGTTGAAACTTTTTGAATGTTTTTCTTATTATGCGTGTTGTTGAGATGGGTGGTTATTGAAGCACCAAAACTTCTGAAATACCGTCCTTGTTGGACACGTGTCCCCTAACTCTTGGGTAAATGTTTCAAAATCTTTAAAAGAGTTTCGTGTTTGTCATAAAATTTTTTGGAAACATTAGAGAAACTTGAAGTGGCTTGTGTATTTAAACTAAGGTACTAAATTATAAACAAACCAAATCACAACAGTTTGATGGATCAAAATAATGTAACAAAAAATGAGTCAAAGAAAGGAAAACCTATACATGTTGAGTTTCTCTTGAAGGAAAAATATAAAATCATGCGTAGAAAATAGATCATAAACAAAGAAGAAGAGACAGAGGGTCAAGGGAAGAGTCAAAAAGACTATTCAATAATCTATCGATGAGTCTTTTTTCCTTAATTTGTAGTTTTGTACACCCTATTCAAACAACATTTGGTTTATTGTTTTTGATTTGTAAACTAATTATTGTTTTTATAGTCTAATTATGGATTTGTCTAGTAATTTTTTAGCCCTACGAATATCATAGTTAATTTGCGAACTCAGTATAGGTCTTTATATTATTAGCTGAACATTATTTGTTTACTATGAGAGTACATGGATAATATTTTATTACTATAAAATGCTTTAAATTGAAATTTTGGCTGATTTGACTTTCATTGACATTCATTTTTTTGTATTTATTACTAGATGCATATAGCAGGCCTGATGAACTTTCGTAACGATAATACATACACATTCTTGTGATGCTACTTTCTTCAGGTTGGCACATATGTACTTTATGTATGAAGTCTTCGCATTATATGTGCTTCACTTGCACCTTTTCATTGTGCAAGGGCTGCACAAAAGATGCTGACTACGTGTGCGTTAGAGGAAGCAAAGGATTTTGCGCTACTTGCATGAAGACTATCATGCTGATTGAAAACAAAGACCAAGCGAACAATGAATCGGTATGCACAATGATCTCCGTCACAACTTCAAAAACTTTTGTTCTTTTCTTACGTAAGTTGCTTCTTCAGTTGTATTGTAGCCTGACCAAAGAGTTATATGTTTTTATATTTATATTTTCATTTTTTCAAAATTTTCTGTTCCAAATTCCAATAATGACATGGACAGCAGCTGAATTTAGTACATCTATTGGCGTTTTCTGATTGTTTTATTATTTAATATTATATCTATCTGAAAAATTGTCATTTAAATAGATGACCTTTCCTGGTAATGAATTTGTACATATGCATGCTGATTTTTTTGACGTAAAAAAATTTGGTTTTGCAGAAAATCAGATCAGTTTTAGAGTTGACATATGTATTTCTTTCTAGGATAAGATGAGGATTCATCCTTAATTTCTGATCCTTTAATGTTTTGCTTATCTGTTTTGAAGTGAGTTCATCATTACAGGTGTTTTAGGGTGATGCGGGGACCTGAGTTTCTATTTCGTTTTACTCTAAATTGACAGGAAAAAAAATTAATTTCAGATAACATGTTCAGTGCGGCAGAGAAGCCAAACATGTTGATGAGTCTTTGGTTTAGACCATTGAGATGGATCACCGTATCCTTGCTCTAGTCACCTTGTTTAAAGTGATGTTTTTGGCACATTAGACGCTTTATCCCATTTATGATGAAGCTTTAGTCAATAAAGTGAAATGACCTCTCTGCTTCTATGTTGAATGACTGTACAAAATTAAACATCAGCCGATTTAGTTGCCATCGGTTAAATTTCTTCTGCCTTCAAAGGAAATGTTTGATTATTTGATCAAATCTGAAGCCTCGTATGATTAGGATTTCTTTAGCGATAATTTCAGGTGCATTGATTACAAAATTTTCCTCTTTTATTAATTTGTCTTTTGCATTTGAGTCCTTTTAATGTTAAAACTTTAATTGGATCAGGATGTACATACTGTCAATTGGCGTGTGTCGATTCTGTTTTCACGAATTATTGAGGATACTAAGATCGAGCAGAAATGTAAACTTTAATTGGATGTATATGCTGTCAATTAGCGTGTAGAATCTGCTTTCATGAATTATTGAGGATACTAAGATCGAGAGGAAATGTAACTTCAAAGTTTGAGGGTTACATTAAAGTATGAAGGTTCCTGGTTAAGTAGCATTAAAACAGAATGCTGGAATCTGTTTTTCGTCATAGTAAGAATATGACAGTGGAGTGAAAATGGTGGAATATGTTGGCGTATGCGACAATTATTTAGGTAATTGGTTCGATTATTAGTGAGGAAGGAGGAATTGAAAAGTTTTTAATGCATAGGATTAGAACCGATTTTGATTAAATGGAATAGTGTTACAGAATTCTATGTGATCGGAAGATACCTACCAAGTGAAAGCAAATTTTATGGAGTGGCTTTTAGGCAGGCTATGGTTAATGATATTGAGTGTTGGACTGTTAAAAGATAAAATGTCTGTGTGATGAGCTTAACGCAAAGTAAAATGTTAAGGTAGATGTGCAACTATATTAGAATGGATAAATTAACAAAATTAGAATATCATCGACGAGTGGATGTGGCTACAATTGCGGTTAAATTAATGGAATAACAACTTAGATGTTCATTTAATGTGTATGAAGCCATTAAAAGGGCCTAATTCACGAGAATCGTGAGGTCCCAGAAAACAAATTATAATAGATAGAGGTAGACCAAAAGTCGTTGTTTGATGTGGTTGCAAAAAGTTTGAATTCACTGGACCTTTCATTAGTAGTTCTGGACTAAACAAAGTAAGAAAAATCGATCAATGTAAATTAGCTTGTGGTTTTCATCTCACCATTAGAGTGTCGTACTGTGTAAAGTGTAAGATGTGGATTCAAAAAATTGTTTCTAGTATCTTTGCATTCTCATCTTTTCTTGTTTCCGTTTTACTCCTTCATTACATACTTTCTACCTATGTGGTCAAATCTCAAGCCCATGCTCTGGTCCTCCTTGAAACCTTTTCCTTTCTATTCCCCCTAATCCTGGGGAAAAAAGGGATCATCCACTCTTACTCAAACATTCCGAACATCATACAGCATTGTGCTTCACTCTCATTCTTCTTGATTTCCCCCTCCCTCGTCTCTTTATGTAGAAGAAGCATTTGAATCTCCGAGATAATACCATCTGACTCTGACCTTTCAAACCATCTCTGCCTTCATCCCCCTGCTGCAACCACGTTTATAGTCTCTCCCGCCTTTACTTCCTTTGAATTACTGAAACGTGATGTTTTCTTTGGACTGCAATTTATATATTCTGTCTTGGACCGATGCTTCGACAGAGAAAAGTACCAACTCATGCACCAATTGCTGAGTGTTAATCAGCTCTGATGATATATGTGACTTCTCCTAGATGATATTAAGGGTCTTATACTACATGTTTTGTTTAACTTGTTTAAGTTATATGTTGTCCTAAAATGCGACTTACCCCAAAAGTAGGATGAATTAGAAGGTTTCCTTTATCTAATCCTCCTGAGTTTGTGAAATCAATTGAGCTCTCCTCTTTTGCACCAAAAAAAAAAAAAAACACACACACACACACACTTGATTTAGCAATTTCCGACAATATCAGGCAGGTTCTGAGCCTGAAAAGTGCTTCGTTGTGAAGGAAGAAAAAATGAAATAAGGAAAAGTATCTTCTCTATCGTATTTGGTCTGCAAGAAAGTTCCTACTAACTTTTATATGATGTAAATTAGGTTTACATGCTAGTTGTGTTTGAAGGAAATTGTTGTAATGGGACTGACACATTTGCTTGACATCCAAACAGGCAAATACATTTCCTTTGTCTTCAGTCTAGAGATGCTCAACTTGACGAGCTTATATTTAGATTTACAATCATAGAGACATAAGTTAGAATACCATAATCTGGACAGAAATAGACAGACAGATGAAAATGCCACATTGAGTTTTATTAGGTTGGGCTGCCAAGGAAATAATTTTTTTTTTTTTTTGACTTAGTCGCATTTGAAAAATACAACTTTAGGCCAAACATTGCATTCCGTGATGAAAGTTGCAACTTATCCGCGTGGCGCATTTAGGGTGTAGGCTGGATTCACTAAGAAGATCGACGATGGCTGGCGGATTACCTATAAATGAGTGGCATCAGAGTAGGGTTATTTATTTATTTATTTATTATTATTATTTTTTGATAAAGGCATCAGAGTAGGGTTACAGACAGAACAACATTCTCCTTCTCTTCCTTCTTTCAATTTCTCTCTCTGGCTGCGCAAACAAAACAAGGGTTTTGAGCTTTTGGAAACTCTTGGCCTCTATACTGAGGGTTGATGAGGGGATATAGGTTTCTTGTTAGATTGAGAGTGATTCTTGTCGGATATTGTATGTCCTCTTGAGTGAGATCTGTAGTGTAAGCCAGAAACTTCTGAAGTTTGAGTGCTTCTGGGTGAATTCTTGCGATCTTGTACTTTGAACTTTGAATACAGTTCAGAATGAGTGATGTGGCATGGAGTTCAATGGATATGTATTTCTGTTATGATTAGACCTGGGTAAATCTTGCGTTCTATGTTGTTTCTGCTTGAATCTTTTGGTTTAACAATTGTTGAGATATAATACTATTTGTTGAGCCAAAAATCTCAATGCCAATTTATTCTATGCGCTGGTGGAGCCACAGTGGGGGCAAACTGGGGGCAGTTGCTCCCACTGCGTTCTTAAAATTTTTTGACAGTTCTGATAAAATTAGCTAGATGGTTTATTTATGTAGTTCTGTCCTGTATATCTTTTTTCCTCTCCTTTCACAACTTAAATATGATGCCTTTTTTATTTCCTCCTTAGCTTGCTCTTTTTTGTCCTTATTTTTTCACGGGCCACCTTCCTTCTCTCTCCTTCCATTTCCAGAAGCTGTCTATTTCCTTTTAATGATAGCAGTCACCTTCTTGACTTCCTTTCCTTCTCTTATTTCCCTTTTGTTCACTTATGTTGACTTTAATTATGCCCTCACAGAATAAAATTCTCTGCAATGACTCTATCCAATGTGGACTAGATGCTTATTTGGTTTGCACTCAACATTATTTTCTGGTGGAGCATTTTTTGATGAAATTTATATCAAAACTCTTTTGTCTATATACTCATTTTCAACCACAAAACTTTGTTTTTGCCAAATAATGGCCATCACACATGCTTATAAAGACATGTAACATAATACTATTTTTATTGGTCAAACCTGAAATAAGCAAGTTTCCAATTTCTTTAGAAATTTTGGTGAGAGTTGCTTTCAAAATGAGCAACTTTATGTGCTTAAAAGTAAGAATAAGGAGCCAGTTTGGCTAAGCTTAAACAGGGCTTTTTTTAAGTATCCATTTAAGCTTAGCCAAACATGAAGGTAAAATTTGAGAACTTTGTTTGGAAACAAAGTATTCTTATAAATGTTATCAAGCCAGGCCACACCAGTTGGTTTGACCGCTCACACCAGGAACTGGACAAGTTATCTTCAAAAAACCATGCAATAGAAAACTGGGCTGTTCAACTGGAGCATGATGGTTTTCCCCGTTTAATTTGAAACACAATATGCATTTTATCTCTCAAGTCATCTCATTATTTAGGGTTCATAACTTTATTTGTGAAGCTTCTCAATTCTCTCTTTCCTTCCAAATCATTTTCTTGCTTTGTTTTTTCTTTATTTCTACTGTGATTCATTCGAAGGTCAACTTTGAGTTTTTGTGACTGTGGATGCCAGAAAATCATGGGGTTGGGGGCTTGCAATCATATATTAGACAGAGAAAATATAAGGGATTTCTTGTACTGAAATGTCAACAAGAAGAAACTTTGTTTTTTTATCTTCCTAATTTGAACAACCAGTTTCATCAATATTTCAGAAATTAAAAATAAAATAAAATTGATGAATATGCTTGATTTCAACAGAATGGATAGCCTGCCTTTGTGATAATTTATTTTTGAAGCTAACATTGATTTTCATTATTGCTTATCATTATGTTATTTGCAGTGTGTAATTGGATTGAATAGCATTATTTACATCGCTTATTGTATTTGACTATTTGTGCTATTTCTATGCTTTTAGTTGTTGATAAAAGTTTTTTCTTTTTATTTTTTTAATAAAAATCCATGCGTTTTTGGCTTTGTTTGTGTGTGTGTGTGTTTGTGTGTGTGTGTGTATATGTATATGTATTTAATTTCTTTAGATCAACGATTCGGGCCTTTGACCCTTGACTCACCCTTTCCCTTGTCTAGGGTGGTTTTCAAAACATTACTTTTTACCTTAAAATAAGGTTAACCAACATTTTAGTTGCTCTTTTGCAATTTTAAGCTAGAATTGGAAACATGTTTTAAGCTTAACCAAACACGTGTTTTGACTTTTTGTAATGTTTTAAAATATATTTATTTATTCTGTTTAATTTCCTTATATTGCCCTCGACCCTTTCCCCTGTCCTAGCCTGTTTCCAAAATATTACTTTTTCCTTTTTCCTTTTTTAAGCTTAACCAAATATGATTTTTACTCTTTAAACTAATATTCTACTAAAATTATTTGTGTAGGTACAAGTAGATTTTGATGACAAAACTAGCTGGGAGTATCTCTTCAAAGTGTATTGGGTTTGCTTGAAAGAGAAGCTATCATTGACAATGAGCGAACTCACACAAGCTAAAAAACCATGGAAAGAAGCAGCTGCGGTGCCTCGTAAGCGGCGGTTATATAATGTAGATCTTAATGGACATGGTAAAAAAGATTCTAATTCATACAGGTCTTCTGGACTGTACGAGCTAAATAAGTCCCAAGAACTGGATGGTTTAGTTAATAAGGACCCGTTAAGGATAGAAGTTCCAAGCATTAAGAAAGACAGAGAAACAAGTAACAAAAATGGTGCAGATGAAATGAGCCATAATGTACATACATGCCAGCCAATCATTGACAAAATTGCAGTCCAGTCAGTTACTAATAGAGGCTTAGAAAAGCCAAGTATTGAAAAGGGGATGGACAAACCAAGCATTGACAAAGGCACTGGATGGGTGTCTAAAGATCTTGTGCAAGAGAGATCACCTCAGAAAAATTTGGATGAATATGCTGCAATTAATTTTCAGAACATTAGCTTGATTTATTTGCGACGTAATTTGATGGAGACTCTTATCAAAGATAAGGAGAAGTTCCATGATATGGTTATTGGCTCATTTGTGCGAATCAGAATATCAAATAATGATCAGAAGGAAGATTTTTACAGGCTTGTACAAGTTGTAGGTATATATGTGCATAAATTTTTTGAAACATAATTTACCTTCTTCTCCCCCCTTCTTTCTTTAAAGATTCTGTGTTAGTCACACATGTACTGAACTAGTTCAATTTTAATATCTGGAATCAGGTACAGATATGGTGGCTGAGCCACATAAAATTGGTTTCAACACAACAGATATCATGCTTGAAGTTTTAAACTTAGGCAAGAAAGAGGCTCTTTCAATTGATGCTATTTCAGATCAAGAATTCTCTGAGGTGATTGGAGATACATAATTGATCAACTTATCTGCTTCTCTCTGTGTGTTGAATTTGTAATGTTATGTTAAGAAAGTGGAAATCAATAACCTAGAGGTAGCGGTGGGCGGTATTGGTATTTTTGGTCTTCTAGTTAGCCTCATGGAGAGGATTTCTTCTATAACTTAAGGCTTAACTCAATGCATTTTGTAAAGTCCTTTTTTAAGTGGAGTGATTAAAAGTTATCAGTTTCTATTTGTGATTAATTAATCAGTCTTACCTGCCTTGTTAAAATTGGCATATATTTCCTGATTCTAGAATTCAACATTTAAATGTATGTTAAATGGGACAGAAAAAAATGTAATCTACACAAAAACTTGCCAATCTATTTGTTCTATTTTTATGAGATCAATCTACACAAAAACTTAACTATGCTTTTGCTAGATCTTTGTTTCTTCACAAAATCTTTGGAGTTCAAAATCTTTGCTATTATGGCAAGACTCTGGAACACACTGTGGATATATTATTATTATTATTATTTTTTTTTTTTTTAAATTTTTATTTTTAATTTTTATTTTTTGGAGAGAGCATATCTTTCTCTGATAATCTTTTTCAATATTCAGGATGAATGCCGGCAATTATGTCAGAGCATAAGGCATGGGCTTGGAAAACCGTTGACCATTGTAAGTATGAGTGCTGGCACTATTTAAAGCTTAGCCTGAAGTAATGCATGTGATAGTTTGCTAATATTTATGCTTTGGAGTAGGGAGACGTGCAAAAGAAAGCTATGGCACTCCAAGCAGTCAGGCTAAATGAAGTGAGTTTGTGAACTGTTGTTTTATATTGTGGTTCTTTAGGCACCCTGATTCATATAGATGTCATATACCCATTATCAGTTTTTCGGTTGAATCTTTCATTTCTTCATCCACACCTATGGCACCATTGGGTGCGTCACATCTTTCTTACTCTTTATGTTTATCTTTTTACTGTGGGACATTTTTATTATCTTTTTGACTTTTTTTGGGGGGTGGGGTGATGTTACAGGTTTGACATGTAAGGCTATTTGGTTACATCTTCTATTCTAATGACCTAATTTCTGTTCTTGTTCTTGTTTGGATGTTTTCTTATTTTTATTTTTATATATAGCCACTGGAAGCAGAGATATTACAGCTAAATCGACTTCTCAGACAAGCTAATGAGGAGGGGCAAAAGAAGGAATATCCTTTGTTTAAAATCTTTTGATATTTTAAATTATATGGAAATCTTTGATGTCCTTTACTTTGCTAAAAGAGACATCATATCTCTACCTTGAAGGAGCTGGAATTATGAACCTGGGAACATATTAATTGTAGTTTCAAAGTTGAAAAAGCTTTCAAAACTTTTCTTTCCAGATTATTAGTTTAAAAAGGTAAAAAAAATAAAAAAATTTTTTTTTTTGAAGAATGGGTTGGACCCACTAGACACAGTAAACCATTGCTTCAAGTAGTCTCCAGAGTTTTGAAATAGCTTTAGATTGGTAGTTGAGTTTGCCTAGGAGTTCAGCTTTGGTGTCATTCCTGTTATATATCAAAAATCATGAGCCATATGCTCCGATTATGGAGACTGGATTGGAAATACTGAAGTTATGAACTTGGAATTATTTATTGACTTTGGATGGTTCAGCTTGTCACCTGAGGAATACTTGGGTTATTGTAAATACTGATTCAGGCGAATAGTTTAGGAATATATATTCATGATCATTAATTGTGAATCAATGGTTTTATGGAAAGGCACTAATTAGAAATGAATTAAGATGACTTCTAATTAACATTTCATTGTTTATATAATTTTTTGTCATAGTTTATTTTTCCTTTTTTGAAATCTCATAGTTTTTACCCTACAATCAGAAATGTCCCAGGTGAAGCAGTGTTTCATAATTCCACTTCTCTTTATCTCTGAGGAAGTGGGATTTACAGATACTGAATTATGGATAATTTTTTAATCTATATATTTCTCCAATTGTGAATGTGACCAAACACCTTGCATGAGTTTCTTGGAGTTCCTTGACGATTTTCACGCTTAGCGAATGTATAGAAGAAATACAGCTTCTGAAGTTGGAACACCAGCAGAAACTTTGTGAAGTTCCAGAAATCCACGCTGATCCAAAAATGAGCCCAAATTATGATTCAGAAGAAGACAACAAACTTGGCAATAACAGTAAGCCTGGTAACACTACATTTTTGGGCCTTGTGGACATCGAAGTTTGTTTTCCACTGGTTATTTTGTTTGCTTTTGTTTTTATTACTTAGATGTATTTGTACTAAATCTTCTACTCAGGTATTGAAAAGGGGCTGATCCAGGTAGTCGGGAGTAATAGAAGTGATGAAAAAATAGATGCGAGTGGATCACAGAGTTGGGAAAAAAAATATGGAAGTCAAGTAAATATTTCTAGCTTGGAAACTGGTGGGAGTGATCAAGCCATGATGAAATCTGGATTAGAAACTTCAATCACAACCGGCTCCAAAGGAAACTCGTCGTCTGCTAATATTATTGAAACAGAAAATTTGTGGCACTATCGTGACCCAAATGGTAAAATTCAAGGACCATTTTCTATGATACACTTGCGGAAGTGGAGCATGACTGGACTATTTCCACCTGATCTGAGGATATGGACAAATCATGAGGAATATGACTCCGTGCTTCTGAATAGTGCCTTAAATGGGCGATTCCATGAAGCATCAAAGTTGGCAGATAACATTTCTTCAGAGTCCCAAGAATTTGAAGCTATTTCTGATAATAGATTTGTTAGTTGTGATACTGAAGTTGTGAGGGCAGATGCATCGGGCTCCCCCTTGCCACATTTAGGTTTCAAGCACTGTACACAACATGGAGAGAAAAATTTAAGTGGAAGAATTGAAATTCAGACGACTGGTGGAAATGATTGTGAAAATAAAGAGAGTCAAGTAGGTCAATCTTCTCAAGAAAATTTGAGTTCTGTCTCAAGTTCTAAAAATATGGAATCTAGCTCTGATTTTGTACCCACAGTCAAGTCACCGCCTAATTTATCTAAACATGGTGGTGGTATAGACCTCTCACGTCCGCCTCTTACACCTGAGACAAGCATCAAGGAATGGGAAATTCAGACAGCTGAAAAACAGCAGTCTGTTTGTTCAGATGTTGCTTTGCAAAGTTCAGGTATCTTCAAACTGCCAAGTGATGCTTCTGATGAATGGTGTGGATATGACCCTCCGCATGCAAAAGCTTCAGTCGAGGAATGGGATTCTGGTCTTGTCTCTGGATCTTCACTAAAACCTCCTAAATCTCTTGGTGATGCTGATACTGCTCTGGCTAACATGCTGACTCTGTCTTCTTCCTCCCATCATACTTCAGATATAACTAGTTGGCAACCATCGAGCAACGAAAAGATTGAGATTGATGCTCTTGGTGAGGATTTAGTATCAGATTTGTTGACTCAAGTCATGGAATCTCAAGGTGGCTTGCCTTCCCCTACTTCAGCCATTAAGTTTGAGAAGGAATTAATTCAAGATTGTAATGATGGTTGTTTCAGTTCAATTGAGTTCAGTCTTACTTGTGATCCTGGAAAAAGTGATGCCTTGAGCTCCAGTGGGGAGATACACTTGACTTGTCAGTCACAGGCAAATGCTCCTGATCCATTTAGGAGTTCATGTGTACAGTCATCAGCAAGTAGTGAAGGAGAAACGAGTGGTCCAGTTCACCGAGCGGACTCTGGATCAGAAATCCATCCACCTGCACCAAACATAAGTCAAGATATGGTTGGCACGACATTGGCTCTTGGCACAGGATCTGAAACTGTGGACCCTGGTTGGGGAACAGTCCAGGGAAACATTAATCTGGTGACTGTGCAGGGTAATGTCAATCTGGTACTGGGTGGACCTACTCAAGGAATGCCGAACTTGGGTTTCACAAACTCGGGGACATCATGGGGTAATCCAAACATGAACCGTAGTGCTCAGAATGGGAGTCTTCCATGGGATAACCAATGGAAAATTGGTGGGGAAAGGTTTACTGGCCCTAGAGATTGGGGTAATCAAAGCGGAGACCAAGGATTTGGACGGGGCAGACCTCCATGGGGCAGGCATCCATATGGAGGTGGTGGTGGATATTCAAGGCCTCTTCCAAAAGGACAGCGTGTATGTAAATTCTATGAAAGTGGGCGTTGCAAAAAAGGAGCATTCTGTGACTATCTACATCCCTGACGGTCTGGTTAAACGACGATTTCTTGCCAACTACATCATGTTAGTATAATTTATTCTTCGGAGCTCTCTCTGTAGGTGTAATTTTTTTGGCTTCAGCTGAGTTATTGGCTATATAGTGTGCAATTTAAATGATTGACTTGTATAGTCCTTACGAGGGCCAAAGGTAGAAGTGACTAGATGTTGCTCGATTTGTGTATCACAATACTGTTGTTTTACCCTTTTTTGTAAAGCCAGATGAGTGCTGTAATTTGCTTCAAAAGTTTTTGCAGTTCTCTCGATCAAATACAAATTTTTCTATGTAATATTTCTGACTGCATAGGGCAAAGAAAGATTTCAGGACTTCAAAGGCTTAGCTTAACTGATACCGGACCACTGATTCATGCAAAGGACTGATCGATTCGTCCATAAGATTGAAATGAATTTTCAGAATTTGGCTGCAGTTGGCTAGAGTCGTATCCAAAAGACTACATGGTACATTACACAGTAGTACTAAGACCAACCCTAGAGAGTAAGTGCACGGCATTAAATCGTGCTCGAGTTGTGCTACTTGAGATTGCCATGAAGAGACGTGTGCTACTTGAGATTGCCATGAAGAGACATGTTACTAATGAAGATAATGTGTTTACCACTGAAGAAGAACAAGTAGAACAGTGTGAAACGACAAAAGATGCAATTCGAAAAGGCGAACTGAGCCTTTCGTTCCTATCAAAGATTACATGTCTCCCACCCTGTTTCCTCAAAGACGTTAGAAGCACAAATCAGATGACATAGATGCTACTGTAATTGAAATTTTATGGATGAGACGTAGTCTAGGAATAAAATGCTACATTGAATAAAATGGAGGAGTGCACTACCATACTCCAATCAAATTGCCTATGAAGTTAAAAGAGGTAAGTTCCAAAATACCTTGCACTATTGAGAAATATTTTCATTTAATTGTTCAAGTGATTTAGATGAAAGTATTAAATTATATCACTTTCTTTATCCGTAAGAGTGGGTTCGAAGAATGTAAAGCAACTACAATATTTCTTCAACTCATTGCGAGATAGATCAAGCATCCACAAGAAGAGGTTGAGGATATTCTAATAAAAGTTAACCAATTCATCCACAAGTCGAGTTTTAATAGATCTTCGGAAAGATGAATCGATTTTTAGGTTCCAGAATGAACAAGTCACTTTCAATGTCATCGAACCACTCAAAACTATCACGTGACTTCGAAAGCTATTTTCATTTGAACAATGTGGTAAAAGTTGGTGAAAAGTTCAAACATGAGGTCCGGTCAGGTGCATAGGTGGTGCAGACCCAATATTAGTTTAGTATTTCATTACTAAATTATCATGCTTTATTTTTATTAGGTTCTTTATATTAATTTCATGAGTTCACACAATTTCAGTTAACCTTAGAATGAGGTCTTTAAGGGGCAGCACATCAATGCATTGAACTTGGTTTTCGATTAACTGGATAAAAATTATAGTGACTTTTCTCCAATTTCCTCATTCAGTATTCTTTGAAATAAAAAAAAAAAAAAAAAAAAAAAAAAATCAATTCTCGGCATTTGTGTGCTAATCAACAAGTATTATTCTTGTGAAGAATCAATAGGTATTTATTATGTTCTTTCTTATGGTAATTTTCTAGCATCTGTTGGTGTTGGTATCAGAGCACGAACAAAATCTTGGTTGTTAGTGAAATTGGACGACAGAAGTTATGTTACTAGATGAAAACATTTTTTTCCCTTTTAATCCAAATGTGGAAGAATCTTTGGATTCGATAGGCCTTCAAACTTATTTATTTTTTATTTTTTAAGAGTTGGGAGAATCTTTGAATTAGTAATCCTAGCGCTTGATTGAATTTCACTCAAAATATCTTCGTTCGTGCTCAATTTAGATTATCGAGTTAGTAATTTATAAAACTGATCTTCAAAACCATAAATTGATTGTGTGCTCTCATTGGAATTAATTCTAGTTAAATAAGATCGATAACCAATCTTCGTGGGACAATATTCACTCGTCGCTTTATTACTTGTTACGATCGATTCTCTAGCAGAATAAAATCGACAACAATATTGAATTGATATACGAGGTTTACATCAAATGTTTGGAAGAATTTATACAAGATCAATGTATGTCGAATAATGTCATTTGTACATAAAGGATATACATAAAGTTCTACAGGTAGATGAGGTTTTTTGTTTTGTTTTTGGGAATAATAATCCAATCATAACTTAGCATATCATGTGTATGTACACTAATCTGTAAGCAGTGGCGGACGCAGACATTTAGAGCTAGTGAGGCACAATCAAACTTGTTAAAAAATTACTAAAAAAATTATGTATTCTATAAGAATACATACAGGTGATCACTATTCGTCGATTCACAAATCTCATATATATATATATATGATAAATAGCAATTCTCAAAGAATTCCATATAGTCTCACATATATGATGAATAAAAATTTCTAAAGAATTCTCAAATTAAATGTCACAAATAACAAAATAATCTTAACTCCCACTCTTTCAATTTTTCGATCATCGCAATAATTCTATTCTAATAAAAAAGTCCAACTACTGTTACTATCTAATTATGATTTTTGGCTTCTAGAAAAAAAATAATAATAATAAATAAATAAAAAAATTTCTAGTGGGTCAAGTGACTCACCAGGACTATTAATAGGTCCGTCAGTGTCTGTAAGTGATAATATACATGTAAAATAACCGATGTATGTCAAGCTAAATTGTTGTTTAACGTCTTTAGTTGGAGGGTTATGTTACAAGAAAGAGAATTCTGACCAAGATGCACAAGTCCCAATGAAATCTTAAGAAAACTGGGATACGTATCTTATCAGCAAGCTCAACCTCTAGAAGCAGAAGCAGTTCACGATATTTTCACATCTCCATTTCATTCTAGTCATTTGATTAGTTCATCAGTATGAAAGGTTTAATAGAGAAGGAGATAAGGACATTAGAGTTAAGTGACTATGATTTTCAGTAACTATGAAGGTGTTAGCTCATTGCTCGACGGAAGCATGGTAGCATCGAATGTTCAGGAATGCGTAAATTAAATTTCAACGATAAGATTTCTTAAAGGATGGAGATGTAAGAACCAAGCTTTTTTGTGGCTTTTAGTAATTTTTCGGGGACTTCTAGGAAGTTTAAGGAAGTTATGGGGTTAAATAAAGATTATATATATATATATTATTTATTTTTATTTTTTGGGTGGTAAAACGGTAATTGCAGGACATACCCTCGGGATTTAAAAAGTAAATAAGAGATTTATCCTTATTGCAGCCACGACCCTAAAGAAAACTATATATATGTTAGGAAAATACCGGATGTACAGAGCAATTTTTCATAGAAAGATTACGGATACTCACAAGATGGTGACCCCATGTATATTAAAATATTGTAAATAATAACCCAACCACCCTACATATGTGTGTTCTGTACCAATTCTGTAGTCATCATTTCTATAAGTGTAGCTTTGCTTTATATGTTATTCATTTTCAAGGCTTTGAATTATTTCAAATGCAGACTATTCGGTTAGGAAAAGTAGTTTCCTTCATCCCAAACCGCCGCTCGTGGGAGGACCTAGTGAGCAGTGCCGACTCCGTTTCGGAGGATTCCCAGCTTTGGGTCCAAGAGTCCTCATGCCTCTTCGCCCAATTTTCAAGTAATCGTTTCCTACTCTTGATAACCTGTGTGTGTATATACCTGGCCATGCATGCATGGAAGTGTTGCTTGCGGGTCTGTCAGTTTTCTTATGCAGTTGCAAAAATTATGCGGGTTTAGTTAGGGATAACAAATTACAGTGGCAAACTTTCATTTGAGGCTGATAACTGAACAGATTTCTAGAAATTGATAACAAAGCTTGGTCTGGACTCGAGGAAACTTTTGTATCTTCACCACCAAAGTATCATGTAGGAGAGGTAAGTTCTTTACCTTCTTTTTGTTGGAAAATTGCTGCATAAATTATTGATATACAAATTACGGGAAAGATTTTTGACTTACCGAAATCATGATATGTGCATGAAATTAATGTTGGAAAAAATTGGGTTTTAATTAATTGGTTTGACCAACTTTTGACCAATTAATTTAGTGGGTCCCGTTAATCGGATATAAGATTTCTTTGGCCGAATGTGTTCTACTCCATGAGTAGATTAATATGGTATATTTATTTTCTCAAAACCAATTTAGAGTGAATGAGAACCTACTTGATGTTGAAATAAAATAGGTGAAAAATTGGAAAATACCAATTCCACTTAGGAAAACTAGAAGAATATAAACCACTTTATATAGCTCAAGTTTGGGATTTGGGTTTGGGTCCCACGGGGTACCAATAGTCTTTGAGGGGGAGAGAACCTACATGCTAGTAGGTTAAGCCAAAGCCCACACGCGCGTGTCGCCGCCGTCCGTCCGACCGGCCAGCTTGGGCCAAGCTGATATATATTTTTTGATAAAATAACATTTGAATTATATTATTTTATTATTATTTAATAATAATAATATATTTTTTATGTTATTATTTTTTCTTCCCCTAATTTTCTGTATTTGACACGTGGTGTTTCTAGAATTTGGCGGTTGAATGTCTAATCGGTTGTGGCGGTTGACTGTCCAAACTGTTTGTGTCTTTTGGACACAGCTTTTCGACAGTTGTGTCTGTTGGGACACAACCTTTCAACATCTATATATAGGCCCCCATACCCCGATTTTAATTCATTCTAAAATCAGAATTGATTTTCTACTCTCCCGAAATTATCCCATTGTCCCTGCATCATTTCTGTTTTTATAATTCAGTCCTCAAAAATTATTTTCATGCATTTTAGTCATCTTATGTGTGTGGAGAGATCTAAACTTTACGGGTTCATCGGGTCTTGTAATTTGGAGTACTACTATTACAAAATGAGGTCGTTGTATCTTGGAAAACGAGTGCTGCAATACCATCAGTACCAGTTCAGGACATTATCGTTTTAAGGAGAAAGAGTCGAACTCTTGCCTCGACCATTCAAAACCATCCAAACGTCGTTACTTTGCCCAAATATACATTACGGTGACACTATTATTTGCCTATATTATTCAACAATCTTAAAACGATAATGGCAAGTACGTCTGTTGTACCCCCTAGTACGTCTGTCGTACCCCTTAACATGCTCACGGGGAGAAACCGAAAAAATTCACGGGAGTGGATTTGAAGAGATGGCAACAGAAAATGTTGTTCTATCTCACGACTCTGAATCTAGTCAAAATCTTGAGAGAAGATGCTCCAACTGTTGAGGAGAAGGAAACAGATTCTCGAAAACGAGCAGC